TGGTAGTACTCCTTATTGACAGTCTGGCCTAGTGGTGCGTACTCATGATGCACAACAGTCAGTATCACCTTCACATTGCTCCGAACCTGTCGTGCTCTTTTGGCCCTCGAGGATGTTGGATACTTCCATTGTGACGCCTGGACCTTGGTTTCCGGGTCATATCCGTACACCCACGACTCGTCACCAGTGATCACAGTCTTCAGGAACTCAGGATCCCTGTTGGCGCACTCCAGCATGTCCTGCGCGACCTCAAGGCAGAGTTGTTGCTGCTCAGGCGGAAGCAGCTTGGGCACAAATTTTGCCGCCACTCTTCGCATGCCCAAATCCTCAGTTAAAATTGTGTTTGCGGAACCTCTGCTGATCCCAACCTCATCAGCAACTTCACGGATGGCCAAACGACGGTCTTCCATGATCAGTGTCCGCACTTCTTCATCAGCGTTGACGGTCTCCCGGAACGCTGCTCACTGTCCGCCGACATACGCCCATGTTTAAAGCGGTTGATCCACTGTTTATTTTGAGTGACCCCCATTGCATCATTGCCGAAAGTCTGCTGAATTTTACGAATTGTTTCCGCTTGGGTATCCCCAGGTTTCTGACAAAACTTAATGCAGTATCTCTGCTCCAAGCGTTCTGTCATCTTGAGTGAAACGAGAATGCGACGAACACGTGTTACACCACTTCGCTATCTGGCAGCCACAGACGCATCCGTCAGTGTTGCGAGTCAGCAAAAAATCACGCATGCGCATGAAAGTCCCTTCTACCACTACGCTCAGTTTCCCCACCCCTTTGTCCATTACTTACAGCGGAAAAAAACAAAGTCGGATATTTTTTGGACATACGGTATTATTGAGCCTTTGTGGTCTGTTTTGGAGAGCGATCTGCGTGCGCGCTCTCCACCTCCATCATTGATAACAGAACTTACCATGTTTTTCAGGAAGAATGGTACAAGATTCCCTTGCATATCATACAGGACCTCTATTTATCCATTCCAAGGAGACCGCAAGCAGTTCTGCAAACCAGAGGTTGTCCTACACCATATTAGTCACGGTAATGTGTTTTTTTGTTTTTTCGCCCACCTGTATTTCCGCTAACGTTTGCACTAACTTCATCGACAAGCGGCGGTCGCTCGGTTGGTATAGTCCGCTTGCAGACTAAAACCACGGAGTTTGTTTGTATAGTAATGAGTTATTCTCAATTTGTGTACCACGAATCAGCGTATAGTTAGTTGTACGTGAATGTAATGTTTTATAATAAGGGATATTTCTCTTTAGTGTTGATTAATTCATTTATATTTCCTGCCAGGCGCGCCCGTTAAGTGTGCACCGCTTACATTTACAGTTTTGTTCCTTATGGAGGAAGGGAAGTCTGCTAGAAATGTTCCTTTAGAGCTTGTTGCTATGGTGATATAACTTTGCGTGGGGCATGTGTAGCTTCACCTGTAAACATAGCAGGAATGATTGATTTTTGCCGGGGTATTAACAGAAAAGGTCACTGCTTATACCCGAGACATCTACTTCATAGCATGGAAGAAGTTAAAACTAGCGCATGTGTTAGATATTGTCCGTTTACGTTAATTTAAGTCTCAGAGGTGTGACACATCGACCACTAATACTATTAGCAGATGATACATTATTTACTTAGTTGACTCGCTCCTCTGAAGGGAGCCGGGATAATGCAGTCAGTGAAGCTGATGGCTACGGGCTTGATGACCGGTGTTCGATTCCCCGAAAGGGCACAGTAGTTTCTTTGCCACCCCATCCAAATAGATTCCCTGCCTATTCAGACGTCTAGACAATGGACAGAATTTTATCTTGCTTGTTTCGCGAGGTTTAATTGACCACGTCTTCATGGCGGGGTGCCCAAGTGCAGAGACCGTGAAGAGTACTGGAAAGTCACTCTGTATCGTCTGGCAGGAGAGGAACTAAGTGCCTCCGTCGCTGAATTTCTACCAATCCCAGAAGATAAGACTCTTCAATGTAACCAACGTGAAAACTTCGAATTTCACAGTGATTACCGTGTGAAGTGAGTGCTGAACCTTCGGTTTCCATAAAGGGGACTTTCGTAACTAGCCGAGCCTTTTAAAAAATACTATCCTACATGGAGTTATTTATTTAGCCTAGTCAATTGACAAGGATAATACAGTATCTAATTATAGAATGGTTGTGAATATTAAATTTGAAAGGAAGTGGTCGCGGCCTGTTTTAAGACGTGATCGCGACATTTGGCTGGAAAGACTAAAGAAATTTACGAAATGTTAGGGTACACGATCTCAGAATCGAAATACAGATCCGGGACAGTCCGAATGCTATACACCATGAAGTTTGACACTAGGGCATTTACTGTCGAGGGACAGAAACATTTCACGCCGTTGCCGTATTATTATTATCACTCACGGAGGTGGCCCTTCTTGAGAAGCCGCCAGTTGTGCAGCTGCTCAAGAACTTCGCAGCATTTTATGGAACCCGAAGATTCATTACCATATTCACAAGAACCCTCCACTGGTCCCTATCCTGAGCCAGATCAATCCAATCCGTCCCATCCCAACTTATCTCTCTTAAGACCAATTTTAATAGTGTTCACCCACCTGCGTCTTGGTCCTCCAAGCGGTCTCTTTCCATCTGGCTTTCACACCAATATCCTATATGCATTCCTCATCTCCCCCATTCATGCTACATGCCTTACCCATCCTATCCTCCTTGACTTGATCATTCTAATTATACTCGTACTTGGAGAAGAGTGCAAGTTATGAAGCTCCTCATTTTGCAGTTTTCTCCAGCCTCATGTGACGTCATCTCTCTTCAGTCCAAATATTCTCCTCAGCACTCTGCTCTCAAACACCCTCAGTCTATGTTCCTCCCTTAATGTCAGAGACCAAGATTCACACCTATACAGAACCACAGGCAAAATTATAGTTTTGTACATATATTCTAATTATTATTATACCTTTTCCGAAATTCTTACCTTTGTGGACATAACGTATTTTTCAGTGATCTGGTCTCGTTATATTTGTTTGTTTGTTTGTTTGTTTGTTTGCTGTTTAAGCTACTTCCGTCGGACTACACGGACTTATATTCCAGAAGACAAAATTCATTTTAAAGTTGTTTAGTATGCTGTAGACTGTAGAGTGTAGACTACGTTTGTGAAATTGCTTTTTTCAATTTAATTAATTTGAGATCGCGTCAAGTTAGGGACGATAAGATTGTTACGGGTATAGCGATGCCACTGAATGTTACAGAAGTTGCGTAGTCATCACTTACCCGCATGAAAGCTTTAACGATGTGTTCTGTAGAAATGCATGCCGGATAATGCTAGCCAATCTGGACCCGCCTATTTTGTTTTTGCCATGGTATGAAACTTGTATTTTGGCGATGATTGATCTGGACATGTGACTCGCACAGAGTGATGCATCAGATGCAGGAATGAATAACAGTTGTCGATCCTATGTAAGTTCTACGACGTGGCACATCTCCGACGACCTTCTATTGGACAATAATTACGATTTAACATATCACTTCAGTGGTCTTGATTTGCAGTTATTGCAGATTAAAATATGTTGCTTTGAAGCTGTCACACTACAAGTGTCACTGTAGAGGGCAAAGAATTGTGTTTCGTTACATTTATTCAAGATTTCGGATAGGGAAGTGCTTTAACTTGAAGTTATATATACGAGGGAGCGTCAGTAAATAGGTCACAAATGGAAGTAAAATAGCTGCAATGGACGTAATAGGTTTCTGTGTGTATCCCTAGGTTGCTTGCCAGTCTCGGTAACAGACGCGCATGCTCATGTTCAGAGGCTGGTTTCAGTAGTGATAATGGCGACCGTGGTTGAGGAATGTAGTACCGAAGATTAGCGTTCTGTTGTGCAATTTCTGTCGGCGAAAGGACTCAGCACAAAGAATATTCGTAAAGCAGTGTTTCGTGTTTAGTGTGGGAAGTGAGAAGTGTTTTTCGCGTAAAGCGGTTCACAGCTGGGTCGAGAAATTCTCTCAAGGACGTTCGAAAGTCTCAGATGATGAAACGGGGGTACAGAATTGACTGAGGAACTGTCAAAAATTTCTGTGCTGCGCGTTTGGACACACTGGTAAACAGATGGGACAAGTGTATTAATGTTGGTGGAGAATATGTCGAGAAATACAAATTCTTTTTCCCCAGGTTCGAATATCACATGTTTAACGTTTTATATCAATTTGTGACCTGTTTACTGACTCTGCCTCGTATTTAAAAGATTACATGTTTTTACTATATGATTTTTGGGGGTTTAAATGAAGGTGAATTTGAGCTTGATGGAAGGTCAGAGGAGGTTTTATATTGACCGGACATGGTCCGAAATCTAATTCGCCCGACAACTTTTGTTGCTGACTCGAGTACAGAATTTAATTGAAACCCGTTCCCTAGTTTGGAAGATAAAGCATTTGTTTGAACTCACATGAGTTCTTCGTGATGCGTCCATCCTAAGGACCTCGTTCGAAGAACATTTAAAATATATGTACCATATTTGTCTCTTGATAGCAAAGTAGACAGGCATGCTCTTCATGACAGAATGTATACTGATAGAGCTATTTTAATCGATCTGTAACTCTCGTTTCGGTAGTTTTCACTGTTCATGCTACACACGGCATGTAACCCATAAAGATTGCATTTGGTGAATATTGTCTTCTATGATATATAGCCGTGTAGTTCCTTGAAAGTCAACCACAGTTTCGAAGGAACATATCGCTTCCATCGTCAGGTTTGAAGAATAAACCGAGCAATATACCAGCGTGAATACATGTCTGTTGACTTTCAAAGAACAACAGGGCGATATATGCCAGAAGATTTAACCACCGCTTTGAGAACATCAGTTCCTACATTGCATTTGGTGTTTGAGGCCCGCCATCTCAGAATGTGTTCAGTTAAAACTGTCCGCAGCAATACCTTGGAAGTATTCTAGCAGACGGTGTTTCCTTGTTAAATATGTGATTAAAGTGAAACTTATGACATTTATGTCGTTTCTTTATCAGAATTATCCATGAAAGCGGATTCACGCCGGAGGACTTCAAGCAGTACAGGCCTGTCGTCTACAGTAACACGATCCAGTCCTTAGTGGCCATTTTGAGAGCCATGCCAAATCTCGGCATCAGCTTCGGCAACAATGAGAGAGAGGTAAGGCCAAGCATTGTATTGTTCATTTATTCCGTCGTGACAGCTGTCTTGGTGAAGAAGCGTTGAAAGGTAAGAGTAGTGCGAAACTCAAGGAGGAGGTGTAGCACAATTGCTGGAAAGCCGTTAATTAGAATGGGATGTACAGATTTCCGCTAGACTCTCTCACTAGTCTCATTTGCAAAACTTGCCTAATAGTTTACTCACTAAGAACTGATGCTTCTACACGTGCTCTTATCATAAAACTAGAGTCACAACTTCTGCCTCTAGTGGAGTGAAACGGTCTCCGTTCAGAGTCGACCCGACTCGGTGGTACTTAGCCAGGATGTGGTTATGCTAAGTCAAGAGGTCACCCATCTTGTACCTGGCCTAGCTCAATGTCGCTTAACTTGAATGTGTCACTAATCTGATAGTGTAGAAATTGCGGAATCGTGCTAATAACTAGGTCCCATTATCGACTCCCATCAAAGCCGCGTCTGTACCTATATTGTTGTGATATTCCCGGTTCATTCACCGAACGCTTCATATTTCCCACACGTATGGCTATGATTTAGGTTTCCTTGAATGTAATTTGATGGCCAGATTGACTTAGCTGGTCTTTACTTGGTCTTTACTGGGCTAGTTTTCGGTCACTTGGAACTGGGCTTCAATAATTGCACATACACGGTGTGTCCAGGATCCGTTACGACTCATTCTTTTAGATTTTGCCCTGCAGTGACATCTCTTGGCGAGTTATGGCGTTAAGATTCTTAAAGTTTCAGCTGTGGCTGTGTATAATTTCAAGGCGCAAGCATCGCTGCATCAAGTGTTATGACCTTGAATGTAACAGTACTGTTCTGACGCTCGTCGGAAAATGGCGGTTGAACAGAGAGCCAGCATCTAATTTTGTTTTGAGTTAGGCAAAGCAGCCGGAGAAGCGTACGAAATGATGAAAAGTGTGTAAGGTAGTGATTGTTTGAGTCGCTGGAACATTTTTCGATGGTATGCTGTACAGTGGAACCTCGCTTAACGAGCATAATCGTTCCAGAATCTTACTCGTAATGCGAAACAATTTTTTCCCATATAAATTAATGTAAAATACGATAATGCGTTCCATGCCGAAAAAAATACTAAACAAAATTTATGTATAAAGTTTATTCAAAGAAAATTATATATACATTGTTAAGGAGCGTGAATCATCTTCATCTTTTCTTCTATGCGGAATGAAGCTACCTGGAATGTGAATTCGATTTGTAGAAAAAAAAATCGAAATAATTACTTTATTATTTATGATACATATCTAATTCTTTTTTACTAGAAAGCTGTCTAGAGACATTTGTTTTTGCCGACGCTTCAAAATTTGGTGAAAATGCACCACAGCATTATCATTAAATAAATTTGTAGCGCGCATAGCCACTGCCTTATTAGGGTGATGCTTCTCAGTGTACGATGCAACAGTTTCCCATGCTTCCAGCATTTCTCTTATTGCGCCAGAAGATTGCTGATTTGCTGTTACGTCCTCCTCCGACAAACTCTCCTGCACAACTTCTTGCTGTGAAACACAAGATCAGCCACGCTCACACCTCGTTCTCGCTTTTCAATGATTTTACGTTTCGTTTCTACGGTTATTTTTATTCTCTTATGGCTGTCTTTTTGCGGCTTTTTCTCCGGGGACATTTTTGCAAGGGTTATTGAACTTTGCACAAAAAAAATCACAAATAATATGTCTGAACACAAGTTTGGAAAAATGTGTGATCACAAGCGACACTAAGATGCTAGCGGAACGAGTGCTGAACACAGACTGAGGTAGCAAGCGCACAATCCGGGACTTCCCCTCTCGTCACTCGTTATGCGAGTCATTCCTTTTACAATTTGTTTTGCTCGTTATGCCGAACCACTCGTTATGAGAGGTGCTCGTTAAGCGAGGCTCCACTGTATTTCGTGACAGCATGGAGGACATTGAAGACGCTCCACGTGCATCAAAGCCGAGAACAAGTCGCACTGAAGAAAATGTGAAAAATGTGACCGAAATTCTTGCATCAGACAGATGTTTTTTCTGCGAGACTCATCGAGGAGCTTTCGGGAATACCAAAAAGTACTGTGCATCAAATTTTGACCGAGGATATGGGCAAACGGAAGGTCTGTGCCCAGTTTGTACCGCACGCGCTGTCAGGCGATGAAAAACATGCCAGAGTGGAACACTGCAAAGACATGTTACGCTCGGCCCAAAGTGATACAAACTTTACAAAATCGATTGTTACTGGTGACGAGACATGGTGTTTTCAATATGAGCCTCTCACAAAGCGGCAGAGTGCAGCGTGGTTGAGCCCAAAGAAGCGGAAACCAAAGAAAGTGCGCATGCAAAAGAGTCTAATAAAGACACTGCTAACCATTTTCTTCGATTCCAGAGGAATCATTCACAAGGAATTTCTGCCAGAAGGTCAAACAGTGAATTGTAATTATTATTTCTTTTCAGAAAGTTTTCATCGCTAGCTCGATCCAAATTTCCTGACAGATGGCAGCCCGCCTGTCTCTGATTCTGTGTCAGAAGGTTTAATTTTTAATTTTGTCGTAAGAATTTCATGACATGAACTTATCGATATGTTGCACATGTTGCACTCTTCTGCTATTTCCCGCACCGTCCAACGACGATTACAACGCACGATTTCACGAACTTGCGCGACATGAGCGTCGTCACATGACGTTGAGGACCATCCCAAACTGTTGACTGCCGACCGTCCTAAATCGCGCAAACCATTCATAACGTGGACGGCTCATGCACTGATCACCATAAACGTTTTTCGTCATTTCGTGAGTCTCCGCAAACGTTTCCCCTAGTTTTGCTCGGGTAGTGCTTGCTACCATTCAGTCCAGAACCTTTTGTCTTCTCGTCTGTTGTCCAAAAACATAAAAATTAGAATATACAAAACTATAATTTTGCCTGTGGTTCTGTGTGGGTGTGAAACATGGTCTCTGACATTAAGGGAGGAACATAGACTGAGGGTGTTCGAGAACAGGGTGTTGAGGAGAATATTTGTACCGAAGAGAGATGAAGTGACAGGAGGTTGGAGAAAACTGCATAATGAGGAGCTTCATAACCTGTACTCTTCTCCAAGTGCGAGTATAATTAGAATGCTCAAGTCAAGGAGGATGAGGTGGGCAGGTCATGTAGCACGAATGGGGGAGACGAGGAATGCGTATAGGATATTGTTGGGACAGCCAGAAGGAAAGAGACCACAGGGAAGACCAAGGCGTAGGTGGGTGGAGAATATTAAAATGGATCTTCGAGAGATAGGATGGGATGGGATGGGATGGTATGGTTTGGATAGATCTGGCTCAGGAAAAGGACTAGTGGAGGGCTCTTGTGAACACGGTAATGAACCTTCTGGATCGATAAAATGCTGGGAAATTCTTGAGTAGCTGCAGAATTGGCGGCTCCTCCAGAAGGGCTCAGCTCCATGAGTAAGTAAGTAAGTAAGTAAATAAGGGGTAGGACTAAGTCCTTTGTACTGCGGCCACTTGTGGCCTATTGTACCAGCCCCAGATGATAGGTGAGGGTGATTGTGGAGCAATTGTTGGAATGAAGATTGGCAAGGGAAATCGAAGTACTCGGAGAAAACCTTCCCCAGCGCCACTTTGTCCACCACAAATTCCACTTGACCATACGCGGAATCGAACCCTGGCCCCCGCGATGGGAAGCCAGCGACTAACCGGTTGAGCTATGGCGCGGCCCGGAAAAAATTTAATATTAATACGCTTCTCATTGATATCGGCCATCTCGAATATCGCAAGACACACTTTACACGTATGTGAACAAATAGCTCTAGGACGATGACTAATCACAGTAGGATGACATGGCAGAAATGATGATAATTAGGAAGCACGCCACTCAGCAGCACAACTTTCCCGAGATTGCTAAGACGTCGAGTTGGCGCGCTATTTCAGAAGTCCCGAAACTTCTTGAACAGACCATGTATATGAGTGTGTGATGATGGTCTCTCACCCTGAGGGTAGAGCATACGCATACGTATATACTGAGGATATTTTAGAACAATGCTGGGGCAGTATTTGGGCCTAAGAAGGAGGAAGTAACGGGAGGATACATATGATTTCATAATAAGGAGTTTCGTAATTTGTACTTCTCGCCGGATATTGTTAGAGTGATTCAGTAAGGCTGTGATGTCGAGGCATATATCACGCATTGCGAAGATGCGAAACGTATTGTGACATGTCCGCTGAATTCCGGAATAGTTTAATCAAAAGACTCCTGTTGCTAGACAGTGACTCTGTAAACACATTTCCTAGGCAACAGAGGCTGACACAGCAGTGGAGTTGGGAAGGAAACACGCAACAATAGAAGAGCTATTGGAAGCGGTGTATTGTACGGTGTCCTCCCCGAAACTGAGCTGGAGTCAGTGATATCCCGTGTGGAGGTTGGTTCGCATACCTCCACCGTACTGTAGGCCGTAGGAGGCGAACTAAAGTGAACCCAGTGCCTGGGGGTATAACCGAACCACTTTGTTCCTGGGTGATATAAATACGGGGACCTGGCCCTCCAGGTTGGGGAGTCTCGAGTCTGAGAGAGTAAAATGTGGTCATGAGTCCTGCGGGATTCAGACCTGAGAATGACTGCGCTGGCGACGACCAGCAATTGCAAACGACAGACCAATGTTACATAAGGACTATAACCGCAAGTGTTCATTTGGCAAATAAAATTATTGGTCGTGAGTCTCAAGGAGCTTGTCGCCTAGGCGAACTGATTGGCGGTAACCCGCCAGATATAAAGTAACTGAGCCTGAGTCTGAGATTGTGAGTCTGCAGGCCGTCAGTACGGTCAGTACTATCCAGTGGTAGGCAGACACTGGCCAGGGGTTGCTCCCACGAGGAGCTATGAGGCAGTCGGTAGCCGGAATGGACGTTGAACACGGAAGCCGAGAAATCTGCACTGCTGGGAGCCGTTGCCAGGCAAACAAGTGGTGGAGGCACGGCAGACTAAGAAGACTTAACGCATGCTGTAGTGAATT